GCTGCTACATAATGGGTGCGGGTCTATTATTATGGAATTGGGGGCCGAAGTTGCCCATTGCTAAGGAAAAAATGCGGATGTTCCTCTCGATCAACTGTACCTTGGCCAAGACTACCGAATAAGTGTCAAGATCAAACACACACAATTGCTGTCTAATTTCAGGATGAAGACCCCATTCAAACCTCCTTGTCTTCCTGTTTTCGTCTATCATGCTTTCAGGGGAGTATTGAACATACTTTAATACTGACAAATCTTCTTGGACTAGTTGTACAAGCTCTATTTCTTTTGTATGTAAGAGATGTTCTGAAAGGTATTCAGTATTGAAGGCTGCCAAAAACTGTTTCCAAGTGACTAGAATGGGTAAAATAGCATGCTTGTGTTGCCACCAATGCCCTGCTTTACCCATGAGCATATATGTGGCAAGAACAATCTTTTGTTCGGGGATCACCCCAAGTCTCGCAAAGTCTTCTCTATCTCTGCTAACTAGTACTCAGTTATCTCAAAAGTAGATGAGTTAAGTCTTTTCTACCTCTCGATATAACCTGGGTCCGTTGTAGGCAGAGTTTGTTGGAAGGAAACTGAATTATGCTGGGGAGGAACTGGGTGGCTCTGTGGTGGTACCGGGTTGTACGGTGGAGGTACTGAATTGTACTGCGATAGTATCGGATAGTATTGTGGAGGAACCGGGTTGTACTATGGAGATACTAGATCTTCTCGATATAGAGATGACTCACATTGTGGTAGGGGTGCAGGGGGATCAGACAACTCCTTTCTCTCCTCCCTGGTCTACTGTCAGAAATTAGTCTCTCAAGCATCTTGAAAAGTCGATCAACGTCCTTCCGAAGTGATCCCTCCTGAGCTGCTTTATTTAGCAGGGGCTTTCCTCTCCTCATGTTTTCTTACCTACATTACATGACAATGAGTTGAGATTTGAGTTGCATTAAATTTATTTTAGCCTTACGTGCGAGGAATAGTTATGAGGAATGCGATTTTGATACCAACTGTAAAAGGCCAAAACCCCTAATAGGGATTTTATGAGTTTTGGCCGAATAATAATAATAATAATGATAATAATAATGTTGGATTCTTTTATTTAGCAAAAGAATTAACAGTTCGAAAATTACATTCCTTGCATGAGTTAAGGACCATCTCAATATCTCGTTCGGTATGAACAACATTAATTATTTCCAACTTTGTTCGGTATAAAACTTTTCAGCTCCATACGATTGAGGATACATTCACGGTAGGGTTCACCCTATGCACCAAGTTCATACACTCTCTCCCATGATGCCCAATAGACCTTTTTTATCAATTCACGCATGCATATTTTTCATTGTATTTAACTCATGTAAGACCCATGCTTCAATTAATTCTAAAATATAAAATTCATGTTTCGAAACCCGTTAAAAATATAAATAGAAACGAATTAAAATGTCATGATAGGATAAGATTTTCTATATGTAGTAGTATGAACAATAAAATAGAATAAATAAATTAAAGCGAAACTAATAAGGCAGGATACAGTAAATAAACAGAACATATTAAATAAACAACACATATTGAAAATAGATTGAGGCAAAAACAACGATTCAAGATGGGTATACAATACATTAACTCTAGGCGAACATGGTGATATGAAAATAGGTTAGACCAACAGAAAAGAAATAGGCAGCTTTAAAATTAGAAAGTAAGCAAGTAAAAATGGAAATAGAATGAAAATAAAATAATAAACACAATAAGATAAAAATAGAGGTAAGAATAGCAAATAATAACATTAGGTAATGTTAGTGGCGAACATAAATAATCATTTAATCGGCTCCATCGGTAACCTATATTTAATTATCAAGAATTCACATGACAGTTTAAAATTTTCATATATTGCCCATTATCTTTAATTTAACCATAATAGGGAAAGAGTTGAAGGATTCTTACACTAGATCGGTGTCCAGGACACTATCTTTTTCACTATGGTTCAATATGGTTTTCTAAAATTTGGAAACCCACATCAAAACAATGTGAAAATACACAAGGAACAACGAAAAAGGAAAAAAAAAACACTCACCGAGGGCAGGTTGGGGTTCTGGCGTGGCGGCATTATCGAGCTCCATCGCCTGGTCCTCTTTCTCCAGCACTTCTCCCTCTTGACCTAATTGATTTTCATCAGTTTTTGGTGAAATTTTTTTAAAATTGTGGTTAGGGAGTATTTTACGGAATAAAAAAGGGAAATTTTGATTTTAACCAGTGTTGATTTGGCCTCTAGCACGGTGGCGCAACCAGTTCCACTGCCTGCTTTCTTGGGTTATGGCTTTCCCTTGGATTTTTCTACATCAATGATAGTTTTAAATGGTTTATAATGGAAAAATTGGACGAATGGGGGGAAAAATCGCACTTACTGGTGTCATTTTTTAGCTTCCGGCATGATGGCACCATCGCTCCTCCGACGTTTGAGCTCCCTACAGTGCCCCCTCCTTCTTCTTCTCCAGTTGATTTGGTGGCTAAAGTTTGGGGAGCTGGCTAAAAGAGGTTTAAATACTCTCCTTCTTCAATATGGGTCATTCATGCGGGACCAGATAGAGCAACAAAGGTCGTCCGATTCGACTTATTTAGGGAACTCACCAAGGTCATTCAATCTGAAAGACTTAGAGGCATGCGAGCCGTCCAATCGAACCTATTTAGGAAGTCAATCTGGGTCATTCACGTGCGCCGAAGTGGCCCCGAGTCGTTTGATCAGCCCAACTCGCGGATTGCAAGCGCGATTTTCTGCATGGAGCCCATATTGACAGGGTCGCCACGCAGTGTGCGTCGATTCGTAGTGCTACTGACTAGGCGTCCACATGGACCGTTTTTTTTTTTTTTTTGCGAACTGACCACTGTCTTCTGAATTTATTTTCAAATAGGTTCCCCATTATTTACAGTTATGCATAGATTTCTGGATTTACTTTCAAAAAGGTCCAAAATTAATTCTTTAATTATGTCTTTGTAATTTGACGATAATTATATTTTTATTTATTCGTTAGATGATAGAAAATAAAACAAAATGAAATAAATTAATAAAAATTAATGAAATTAAACGAAATAAAAATGTTTTTGTATTAATTCTAATTTAAATGATTACATAACAGATTTTGGGGTCTTACAACATACATATATATATATATATATATAAAATGAGTCAAACTAATTTAGTAATGAAAGGGTTGTTGTATAGAGTGCAAATACATCGATTTTATATCACAATTTATTATTAAGTAATATATTCATAAACAACCTTTCTGTAACTAATAAAGATATTTAAGTTGAATTAATTTTTATCATCTTCCCACGCTGCTGGAATGTAGTGGTACGGGATGTTCCATGTTGTTTGGTTGCGGGGATAGCCAAATCGAATAGGAGAATTTGTTTTTAATTCCTGGTTTAAGGATTTGATTGGATATTGTTTGAATAGTCAACAGATCGTGAAGTGGAGATCTCATCGTTTTCAAACAAAGGAAAAACGTGTTTAAGGGATTTGAAAACTTTTATCTCCCAATCAATCAATATAAAACTTTGTTTTTGTTTTTTTTTTTAATAATCCGTGATTAAAATATTTACATTTTGCTTACTAAGTTTAAAAATATTTATAAATATAGAATTTATTATTATTATTTTTTTATGTATTGTGATTTTAGTAATTAAATTATTTGTATTTTATTTATAAATTTAAACATATTTAAAAATATATAATTCATTATTTTTTTTATGTATTATGAATTAATAGTGAGTGATTTATAATAATTGATTCAGTTATATTAAATATTTTGTTTATTAATATGTTTATAAAATTATATTAATTAAATTGAGTTTTATTTTAACAAATCATAATATATTTGTACAAAATAATAATTTATAATTGTTAGGTTTTTTTTTTTAATTTAGAGAGATCATAACAATTTTTTTTTTCTAAATATTTATTTCCTATTTACTTTGTAAACGATGGATTTGTTCAACCCTTCCATGTTATTTTTTGTTTACAAATTATTTTAAGAGAATATATATGTGTGTGTGTGAAAGAGTAAATCAAATTAATTCAGCATATTTTAAAATAATTATTTTATATTTAAAAATAACGGTAAAAATCATGATGCTTATTGGGTAAAAATAAAAAAAAAATAATGCCCATCTCTTTGTTGTTTTTCTAGAAGAATGGTTTCTACTTTCTTGGTTCGCAAAAATGTTAAATTTTTTTAATAAAATTATGATAATATATATATATATATATATTTATTGATTAAAATAAAATATATTTACGATAAACAATAATTTACATATGAATAAAATTTTACATATTAATGTTTAGATGGTGTAAATAATATGATTTAAGTTTAATTTTATCCACCAAGCAAGTCAACTTTATTCTCATAATCTAAAATTTATATTTAAATCAAAATATGTTAGTGGCAGCGGTGCGATTGATAAAATATGACTTAATAATACAACGCCCTTGTCTTTAAGTTATGTTTGGTTATTGTCTATACATATAAGATTTTTTCCTTGTTGTTATATTCAAATATTTTTAATTTATTTAATAAATAAATATATTTATTTTTTTTATAAGAGATTATACATTTGAAAATTTTGTTATAATTAGTGTGTGTGTATATATATATATATATACATATTACAAATTATGAATAAACTTTTGCTAAAAATAAAAAATAAACATTTATTATTGTGTGTATTGTTTTTGTTTATACACAAATAAGACAAAAAAATAAAATTAAAAGTCAAGTAGGCTGGACCGGGGCTATATGATAACATAACAATTAAGTTGGGCGTAAGAATCTAAGGGGCCCACTAAAAAGTTTGAAAATATTTGACTCGAATTTTCTTTGTAAGTACGGGCTATTGAGTTTGGGCCGGAGCCCAACGGATTATGATTAATTTATTATTTTTTAAAATGAATACATAAAAGTCTTATATTTTATTTATTTATTTTTTGTTGGAAAAATTGACTTGCCTTCTTCTTCCCCTGTGATGAAAAAGTCTAAAAATGCGAATGCAAAGAAGCAAAATTTATGCAGAATTTTTGTTTTTGAAAATTTTTCTGCAGGAAATAATTTACTAATAACAGTGTTAAGCGTAAAACCAAACTGAATCCTCCGACTCCATTGCTCCTTCTCTCTGGGTCTCCTCTTTCTCTTCCAAGAAGAGGAAGACTCAAGACTAAAACATCCCATTCGAGAGATCTCCTCGCAATGCCATTAAAACCTCTGAACGCCTTCATCGTCGCTTTCATGCTGTTCCTCACATTCTTGATCCTCTTTCTTTCCGGCTTCCTCGAATTCCCATCTCTCCCCACCTCAATCTCCGCCGCCATAGACCCTGATTCGAGGTTTTCAACCGAATCGACACCTGATCCCTTTACTGACCTTTTAGGCGCCTTCAAGAAATGGGACTCTCAGGTGGGTTGCGAGCAGTTCAGGGAAAAACACAAGGATTTGATAGCGGGTTCTGGGTCTAACAGGTCGGATTCTCTGCAAGAAGATGGAGATGATAATTCAAATTGCAGTCAGTTGAAGATGGGGCATGTTAGTGTGTTGGTCAAACGGTGGACTTGGATTCCTGATAATTTGGATAATTTGTATTCCTGTCGATGTGGGTTGAGCTGTTTGTGGACCAAGTCGTCTGTTCTTTCTGATAAGCCTGATGCTTTGTTGTTTGAATCGGCTACGCCTCCACTTCAGGTACTTTCAATATGTTCGTGAGCAGTTTACTTGTTTGAAGTTTTATGCTTTTAGTTTTCTTCTTAGTTATAAGCATAAATCTAGATGCAGAATGTGTTTTTCTTTGATTGCCAACTCGGAGCTTCTTTATAAAGAGGAAAATGATGTTATTTTCTCTATTTGTTTTAGATTATGGACTTTATTCTGCCTAAATAAAGTTGCAGTTTTTTTTTTGGAACTTTTTATATCTGGGATCAGTTTGGCGAGAGTATGCATTGGAAGTTGAAAACATCATGTAGTTGAAGGAGATAATGTAGATGGAAAGGTAAGAAAAGAAAGAAACAAATTGCTGGGATTCTGGATTTAGTAAATGGTGTAAACCCACAATTTGCAATATGGTTCATTTTCCAGTTTTTATGATGTTATGTTTCATTGTTTATAGATTTAGATCTCTCTCTCTCTCTCTCTCTCTCTCTCTCTCTCTCTCTCTCTCTTCTTTTCTTGAGAGAATTGGTTACCAAACATAATTCTTGTCAAAGTGATAAACTTTGCCAGTCATAGCCGCATGAATTAGATGAGCCCTTCATATTGGGGAAGATCTATGTTAGTATATTTTTGAATGTGGGGGATATGGGTTAGGTTCCATCTATAAAAACTCTGGTTTTGATAGTTTAACATGTAATGGCAAAACCTAGGACATGGTAACCTAAAGGATCTTAATCCTCCAATGGTATGCTTTTACTTGTTTCTTGCCTTTTGAGGAACTTACATTCCTGCTTATAATGTCCCTTTGCAATGACAAAAAGGAAGCTTTGGTGCGAGCTTCCCATTGCTTAAATGTCTTTTGGAGTTTGTGGGTGTTTATTACCAAGATGCGATTATTTAATTAGTATTTTGATATATTAACCTTTTACCTGTAAGGAACTGGCTGAACCACGGTTTGATTCTTGTATAATTTGTCAATCACATATCTTTACAAAACCTTCTGCCGACCAGACAGATATATGCTAATGAGAAGAAGGTAAGACTTTGATACCATTCCTAAAGCTTATTTGTCATTATCTCTTCTAAGATCGCACCAGGAAAGATAGATAGACAGGTAGGTCCATCGGCATTTTCTTTTTAATTGCTTCTAACATGCATACTGATTTGTTAGTCCATCTGTAACAAAGGCAACAAAATAGTTACACAGATAACAGATAGATCCATGGTGTTATAAATATAGTATTAGAGCTGACCTATGACTACTACCACTTATTTTCTCCGTTTTAGAAAAGAATAATTACTATCATGTGGATTCCATGTGTTCTCTTTTTGGTTATTGAGTCCCATAATGAACTGAATGACTGGAACCATGCGACGATTTTTGATAGATCTGATTTGGGGAAGTTTGTAGTATTTCACATTCTATATTGGTGATGCACCGATAATGGTCTTTTTCTCTGTCTGTTGTCTAAGGATTCCTATATCATCATAGTTCTCACGTTTGGGTAATTGACCCATCACATTAGATGTGGGTAATTGACCCATCACATTACATCTAATGTAGTAATGCGATAAATCCTAAGATTTGTTTTTGGTAATCATCTGTTACAAAGAAAATGCAAGAGGATCTAAAATGTGGATTATGCTCTTATTCTGCAGTGTAGGAGATCGAAAATATGATTTTGCATTGCCTTATTGATGATACTTTGTTATAACGTACGCCATTTTGAGAAATGTGCCATTTGTACTCTAACAAGAGTCCTGTCACATTTCAGATGCATGCCTGGTGCCTATTGTGTCCATTTTACTGTGGGGTTCAAGGAATGAAATGTAGAACTTAAATGCTTTTTGTGGAAGAGGAAACTTATTATAGAATAAAATTTTGTAATAGAGTTATTTCTCTTTTTTTTTCTTGGGCTATATCGAAGGCATGTAAACATGGTGGATCACATGCTGAAAACCTGACAAGGAGTTATTGCCACCGAGCGTGATTGTCTTCAGCGAGGCATCTTTATCATTTCATTTATTTAAAGGGGTGAAGTGGGAGAACAGCCATATACCCTGCATTAGTGTAAGGAGGTCAGGACTATTATTAGAAATGAACAACAAGGGCATCAATAAATGTCAATGCAGCTTCGTTGCAGACAGTCAAAGCGAACATGACTACATGCATTTTCTGCATTATGAGCTTAATTCTACCAACTATTTTTTTGATGCTTTATTTATTAGATGCTATCTCTCTCTCAAACTAATCTTAAAATGGTGTCTTTTTGTTTCTCTTAGAGACTCAGTGGAGACCCGCTACGTGTATATATGGATCTTGAGGCTGGAAGGAAACGGTCAGGTCATGAAGATATATTCATTAGCTACCATGCCAAAGATGATGTTCAATCCACTTATGCTGGTGCACTTTTTCATAATGGTCGAAATTATCATGTGTCTTCATACAAGAACAATGTAGGTTCTTGTCACATACATCTTTGTTCCTCATATATTTCTGCTGATTTTTTCTTCATCACCTGTTATCGTTAATGGATGATTTAGTAGGCTAAATCTAACATAGCTCTTAATGCCATTTAAAGGATGCCCTTGTTTATTGGTCTTCATCCCGCTGTCTTCCTCAAAGGGATCAACTTGCCAAAAGTATCCTCAGTTTCTTGCCCCACCATTCATTTGGCAAGTGCTTAAACAACGTTGGTGGCTTAGATAGGGCTATTTCTCTATATCCTGAATGTGCCAATGATGCTAGTCTGGCTCCAAAATGGTGGGATCATCTACATTGTGCAATGTCTCATTACAAGTTTGCCCTAGCAATTGAAAACACAATGACAGAGAGTTATGTGACGGAGAAGCTATTTTATGCTCTGGACTCTGGTGCAGTTCCCATCTATTTTGGTGCTCCGAATGTCTGGAATTTCGTCCCTCCACATTCAATAATAGACGGAACTAAATTTAGTTCCATGGAAGAATTGGCTTCTTTTGTGAAGAAGCTTGCTAATGACCCTGTGCTATATGCCGAGTACCACGCATGGAGAAGATGTGGTGTTCTGGGTAACTACCGGAAGACCCGTGCAGCAAGTCTCGACACCTTACCTTGCCGGTTGTGTGAGGCAGTTAGTAGAATGGGAGGAAGAAAGAGAAGAGCATCATGAAGGTGAACTGGTTGGTATATTAGTTGCTTGTTCTGGCCATATATTTTCCGCTAATTACAGTGAAGTTGTTAGATGCACAGTAGCTAGGATTACAAATACAAAGAAAGGAAGAGAAAACACTTTATACTGGTAAGAAATGATCATATTAACCCGAGTTCAGCATAACGATTATTCTTCCATTGATTTCTTCTTTTTGATATACTTTCTTATTCACTCATTACAACTTGCTTTTGGGAGCTGATTTACATTTAATACTAGAATAAACTTGCTTTTGGAACAAATGGACATTTTGTAGCGTTCGCTTGAAATCCTAAATTTATTCCAAATATAACCTTATTTCTCGTGTCTAAGTTAAAATTTTCGGGCTTCAGATGATCTTGTAGAGCTCTGATCTTCATTGTCATCTTTGTGGAATTTCCAGACAGAAGCCATTATTCCAGTTGAAGTTGTAGGGTTGGACTTTGCAGCTTTCTGCACCTGCATAATTTTCATTCCCATTAATTTTTTAAAGCTACAAGTTTACTAAAGAAATATACTACCTTGATTAAATATAAGGTTTTAATTTTAATTTAAAGATGAAGTTGAAATTGAATGCTACTTTTTGCCTGGGCTTGCTCTTCTGGATCTTCACTGTCTTCAACTCTTCAGGTCTGTTCTTTATGTATTCCTTTAATTGCTCATCATTCATGGCATCTATCATATCAATCTGTAAAACAGATGGAAATAAATTCTCACTTTTTTTTCACCATTTTTGTGGGTGTTTACTGATGAATTCGTTTTTGGTCTGTTCCTTATGTGTTCCTTTAATTGCTCATCATTCATGGCATCTATCATATCAATCTGCAGAACAGATTGATATAAAGACGTAATTTTTTTATTTTTCGCCATTTGTTTGGGTTTTTACTGACGAATTCGTTTCTGGCCTATTCTTAATGTGTTCCTTTATTTGCTCATCATTCATGACATCTATCATATCAAAGATATAAACTTTTTGTGGGTTTTTACTGATGAATTTCGGGTTTTACGTAGGAATTATAGTTCGAATTAAAGACATCAGATTCTGGTATCTGCAGTTTGTTGTTAATGAAACAAAAAATCTTGCAAGAAGAGTAAATAAAGGGTGAGTAAGAGTTGGTAATTACCCAGGTGGCAAGATGTTGTATATCTTTGGCTAAGGCCTCTTCTTGTTTGTCTGCCATGTTATTCTTGTCTTGCAATGAGAGAAGAGGCTTGGCCTCCTCCGCAACTTCCTTCATTTTCCTCTGCACTCCATACATTTTTTCAATCTATTCACAAACGCGCCTCCAAACAAGGCCTTAAGAGAGAAATCTGTGTGTGTAACGCTTTCCTGATTCTACTCACATGTTTTGTGGACCAAACCTTAAAACGTAACACTAATTACATCATAAAAGAAGTGCATCTTTTGTTCTACTTCCAATTTGTAAATTTTTTTTTTTTTTTTTTTTTTTAAAAATGTCTAAGAAGAACAGGTTAAAGATAAAGATATTTTTTTTACTTAATTTTAACCCGGATATACAAAATAAAAAACTTTAAATTCTTTTTGGGTTGAGTTGGATCCCTTGTCATCTCATATATTTAGATAATTTTTTAAATGTGAAATCTAAATAATTACTGACAAAATAATTATATTTATGAAATTTGATTTCTTAAACTTATTTGAGTAAATCATTATTTTTAAAAAAAAAAAAATTTCGTGGTTAAAAATGTAAATTTTACAAATAAAATTGATTTATGTGTATTTATGAAAAATTGATTTGACACTTATGGCGGAGCAAAATTATTTTAAGAATGTCAAGTCGAGTCGGTATTACGAGGTGCCCGGTCTAAAACTAAACCGGGTTCAGACCAATACGAAACCGCAAATTCCGTTCTCCTCGCCGTTGAAAATCACAAGAGTATAATTAGAATGCCATGGCGAGACCTCCTTTGAACAACGCTATCAGGTTCAAGCACTCACTTCTTCTCTTCGTCTCTCCTCCTCCCCTTCTTCTTCGTTCAATCAACTCAACGTCAATCACTTCCCGAAACGTTTCATTTCCCGCAAAAAGCTCAACAGCAACCGGAAACCTATTGCGCCTGCGTTGTTGTTGTTGGAGAGCAATGACAACGATGCTCCAGGAGCAGCAACCAGTTCAAGTTGAAGTGAAGGAGAAGATTGATCTCACAGAAACCGAAAAGAGGATATTCGATAGGCTCCTCGGCACTCTCCGCCACTTCAATCTGCAAACTCAGCTCCGTGTCGCCGGTGGCTGGGTGCGGGATAAGGTTTCTCACTCACTTAATTTCCCTGTCTATTTACATATTCGCGCAGTTTTATTTCCTGCTTCTTTGGGTGTAGAAACATGTATTGCATGTGTTTACCTATATGCATGTATATCTCTGTTGAAAATTTTATGGTCTGGATTATTTCAAAAAAAAAAAATTATGTTCTGAATTAGAAGTCAGAACATACAACTGGTTAAATACATTCGCCATTAGGCAAATATTTTGGTGCAATAAAGGTCTTATTTTAAGTATTTCAATTGTATTATGCAAGCTGGTGACATGGAGTAGGCTGTTTGCTTGTTTAGTGGTTACGGAGAGATAGGAATCTTCTAGCTGTTGGGATTTTTCTTGGTAAATAAAATTTAAATTTTCATTGACTTCACTCACTATTTAAATTAATAAGTTAAAATGTCTTTAAATAGATTTACGTCAAATTTAAATTTACTAAAAATAATCTATTACTATTTAAGAGATAAATGTAAATCAAATTTTTTGAAAAATAAATTCTCATTAATAATATAATTTTTTAAAAATACACATGTTTTAAATCTAATTAAACATAAATTTTATTTGAATTCAAACTAATAAATAAAATAATTTACAGTTTTTACATTAATTTTCAATACTCTCCCTAAGTGTAGAAATTATAATCATTAAATTTATATTGTTAGAGCACTTCTCTCTAATATTACTTCTTTGATTTTTATATTTTGAAACATTTCTCTTCAATTGTTGATGCACTTCTCACCAACCTCCGATTATTGATGTGTTTTTCATCAATTTTCAATTATCTGATGTATTTTTTATCAAAATCTTTTGGAGCGCTTCTCTCCAAATTTTAAAAAAGAGTTTCTTATTCTTCTTTTTCAATAATATTTGTTCAACCTGTAATTTTTTTTTTTTATATATGTTCAACTGTTTGATAATAAAAATATTGTGATTTACTTTTATACCAATAATATTTTTCATCATGATTGTTTTTCTTACATACTCCGCATGGTGGAAAGTTTCTTCTCTTTGATAGTGATGAAAACTTATTTGACATATCGGCAATGAAAACTCCTTTCATAATTTTCTTTTTCTTTTTCTCATTGCTCTCTTCTCTATATTATTTTTTACACATACTTATAACCAATAAAAAATCTGATACTACTTGTTGGGATTTTTCTTGGTGAATAAAGTTTAAATTTTCATTGATTTCATTCACTCCACCAAAATTAACAACTTAAAGTGGCTTTAAATAAACTTACATCAAATTCAAATTTTTTAAATATAAATCAAATCTTTTAAAAAATAAATTCGCACTAATAACATAGTTTTTTTAAAAATAAATATATTTTAAATCTGATTAAAGATGAATCTTATTTGAATTTAAACTAATAAATAAAGTAGCTTATGATTTTTATATTAATCTTCAACACTACCAATGATTTATTTTGGGCGAACTGTGACGTTTTGAACTTTGTTGTTCTGTTGAGGCTTCTGGCAGCAGCAGAAGGAAACTATATTGAGGAAAAGGAACATTCTTTTTGGGTAGGTAGATTTCTTTAGTGAGTAAAAATTTTCCTTTAATTTTCTCGAGAAACAATTATGAATGTATAAAGTAGCTGAGGTATCAAGTAATGAGGTGAATGAGTGATTTTCTGTGTAGTTCATCTCCAATTGAAATATTGAACTGTCGGTTCTGTCATTCTTTTGCTAGCTCTTGCTTATTGTTTTCTGCTGTGAAAGCAGTCTTATTTCAGCTGTCTTTGATGCTATAAGCATCAAGAAATTGATCTAGTACCTGTTTCTGTAAAATCCAGTGTTCAAGGGAAAAGGGAAAATAGAAAATAAAGAGATTTATCTATGAAAGCATAGAAAAACTAATATGAACGCTATATATAGCAGACTTTTTTTTTTGTGTGAGTAGTGTGGAAAAGATGGAATGTTCATGAGCTGTGAAGGTCAATGTTACATTTATAGTCAGATAGAAAGAGAAATGACGCACTGAGACAATTTTGGCAATGAGAAAGGTGTCTTGCTTGATTATTTGTATCTTCCAGAAGCTATCATCTTAGGAAACTGTATCGTTGGCTTGTTCTTAGTTAGTTAAATTTGAAACCTCTTCAGAGTGGACCTTTTTATGGATCAAAGTTTTGCTATACATAATTTATATGTTTTATGGTTTGTTTCTCAAATTTGTCTTATGGTCTGGACTCGTTTTATTTATTATACATCTCTTATGTGTTTTCATCTCTCATGCAGCTTCTTGGCAAAGACTGTTATGACATTGATATTGCTCTTGACAATATGATGGGCAGTGAATTTGTTGATAAGGTGAGGGAGTACCTGTCTTCTACAGGAGAAGAAGCACAGGGACTTGCTGTTATACCATGGTAATTTGTGGTCAGAAGTGCAGTTTATTTGATCTATGTTGTACCCTTTTAGATCCCTTTTTGTGTTTGCCCGTTATACTATTCTGTTAATTGCCTTGTGTGGCTTATAATTTGATGTTTTGTACCTCTATTAGTTAAAATTCTAAATTGCAGCAATCCTGACCAGTCCAAACACTTGGAAACAGCAAGGATGCGCCTCTTTGATTTATGGATTGATTTTGTCAATTTAAGGTGTGAAGACTACAGTGAGAATAGCCGCATTCCTACAATGGTAAATCTCACCTGCATTTTCAATTTTCCTGGAAGGATGGTTCTCTGTGCTTATAAGTTCTTCATGATATTCTGCATATTTCAATTTAGACTTTCAGAGAGCAGTTTGCTATACTTTTCTTATTTAGTTTTTGTCATGTTTTCATTTCTTTTGATAAAATATCCTTTAAGCTTCAGGATTAATTAATTATGTGGATTACACTAATAACAAATAATCTGCTAAATTAGACAGCTTAACAGAACACATTTATATTCAAAGACATATCTGTGCTCTTTACTCCCATGTCTTTACTTTTTACAATTGGGAAGGGTGTGGAACTTGAAATTTGATTAATGATGAAGCTAGAATGAAACTGAATTGGAAGAAAGTCAGTTGTGGCGAGAATTGTTAATTAAGTGAAATTCAACAATCTGTTG